GCTTTTCACGGCCTCTGCGAAGTCGTCGTTGCCGAGCACGCTGCAGCTTTGAATGAGGGCAGCTACGGTCATCTTCTGCCCGGGAGCGGGCCAAATGGCAAAAAATGACCTCTCCGGCTCCGGTGTTGTGGCTGCACAAACAGCCTCGACGATGCTCTCGATCAGCCATGGCAGAAGTACCGCTGCACTTCGACTCCCATTACCCAGCGCTTGCAGATCCTCCGCAGACGCTACGGCTCTCAAGGCCGTGCACGGAGTGACCTCAAGCTGAAACTCCCATGCTACACCTGCTTGTGTTGCAGCTCAGCGAATTAAGAGACCTACCTTTTCTAGATCATGCAAGGTCCAGCATACCCTTACGGCCTTACGGACCACGTGTCGTATCTTCGCGTTTGCTGGCACCTGTGCTGCCGTGGCCCAGCAGACGGCAGCTGCGGCAGATGGCAAGGATTCCAAGGAAGTGCCCGGAGGACCGCGCAGCGATGGACTCTCCGAGTACTCCTTTGCAGGGCGAGGGGAAATCGAGGCTCTCACCGGGCCTTTCTCCTTGCAGCCAAGGCTCTTCCGCTCGCAGCGGCTTCGCAGAGATCTCCGAACCCGACTTGGCCAGTGGGCAAAGCTCCAGTTTGCTGGCCAACCGGACAGCGGCTCGACTGGTTGGTGTCGGCATCACAGGACTTTCTTGCTGTGGCGCGGTGGCTGAGCTCGATGACAAGATTTCTTCACCAACCCGGTCCAGGGAGCCCAAATGAGACAAAAGGTCCAGAACTGCCGTAAGCATATTCAAGCGGCTCTCCGTGCAGAACTGATCCTGCTTCGCACTAGACACCTCCCCTCCGTACAAGCCACTGAGACCAAGAGAGTTCACCAGCTCCACCTCCAGACTCCTCGCCGCGAAGGTCACCAACGCACTCTGCAGCTCGGGCTTTTTGATCAGGAGCTCGTGTCCGTGGGTCTCGAAGTGTTGGCACACAGACTCGAGGACTTCGGCAATCTCCCTCCAGGCAGCCATCGCATCCTGCCCGGCATTGTGCATCCGTGCCGTGGCATCGTGCCAGAGGGCCCAGATCTCCTCGAGCTCCGAAGTCCAGAAGTGCAGCCGCCGCTCCAGTGACTTCAAGAGACTTGCCAGCCAGGCCTGCGGCCAAAGCCGGGGCGATTCTGTTCTTTACTCCCCAAGCAGTGCTTCTTATGTTTAGGGCTTAGGGTTGCAGTAACATCTTCCGGGCCAAAGTCAAGTTCTTTTCTCAGTCCCGCTCTGGCCCGACCGAATACGCCGAGTTCATGGGCCAATCCCTAATTTTGGTGCTCGGGAGCTTGGTCAATCGAGCTGGCGTTACCTTGCCTTGCAGGTTCGGTGAGAATCATGCTCCAGAGGCCCGTGTTCAGGCGCTCCTCGGTGATCTCGTAATCCTACCGCTCAAAGGAGTTTCGGAATTCGGCGAAATTTTGGGCTGTGCATCGTCTTCCCGTCATATTCCCATTCCGCCTCACGAAATGGTACTTCTGCCATTATGCCACAGACAATTTGACTCCGGCTCGCACTCGTGCTTCCGCCAGGGATCGCCGACAATATCTTCTACGTTTTGCACGCGTGGGTTGGGTCTTCCGAGCTTCGGCGGTGCTGAGACGCTTCTTGGGCGGGGCGATGCTCGTAAGTTCTCTCAAGGGTCAAGCACTCAAGCACCCCCATGCACCCCCCTCTTTCAGCTTCTGCCTCGTCGAGCGGTGCCTCTAGAAGCCCGCTCATCTCCGCACAGGCTTCAGAGCAAACCTCGTTGGCCAGGCGGCGGTAGCCTGACAAAAAGGCACTCGCCCGACGACTCCCGTTCCCATTAATCGTGTGGCACTTCACATATCTTCACATCTTTTCAGTCCCGAGCCCTGCAAAGCGCTCTGGCGCTCGGCATCCCCCGCAGCGAAACGGCAGAGCTTTCTTCCGCCGTCCCTGTCAGCTCCCGCGGCGGCCAGTGCGTAGTGGCTGGCCCTGTCACGCACATGGCCGCAGTCAACAAGACACAAAAAGAGTGAAGGCCTTCCGCCCGGCCTCTCTTCCAGCGCTGCCACGGCGGCGTCTTTCTGTGCCACTAGCTCCTGCAAGCGTGCCGGCGGGATAGTTTATACAAAGGCTCCTCAAAAGCTAGACTCTAGAGCCGCATATCCGTTGACGATCAAACGATCAACAGCCAATGGAGGGTCCACCAGGCACGACTTTGCAGAAATCTGCCATCTCAGTCTCGCATCTTCTGACGGGGGAACTTCTGCACCGGCGACTGCCGAAGGATCCTCCAGGGATTTCCCTAACGTTCCAGGAGAGCCCCACTTTTTGCCTGAGTCCCTGTGACACCCTGTGCCTCTGTCACCTCGGCCTGCAAGGCTTTCTGCTGAGTCTCGATCGCCTCGATCCGCCACTGGCTTGCGATAAGCTCACCTCGGAAGGCATGGAAGGCATGGACACAAAGAGACAGATGCCGAAGTCCTGGCACTGCAGGGTGCACTTCGGCATGTGACGTCCGACTTCGGGCAAGTCGCGGAAGAAGCAGTCCACGGCAGCAAGATGTTCTCGCCTCGCCTTCAAAGCGTCGCAATACCGATGCACCTCGCAGGAGACAATCGAAGATGCGAGTCATGTCCATATGAGGGCATCAAGTCTTAGAGCAGCAGTTCGATTGCCGAATGTCCGGCAGGCCTTCGACGTGAGTACGGACGCAAAGTGGTGCTCTCTTGGAGGTGATGGCCGCCGCTGGGAACAGCAAAAGTGATCTCCAACCCCTCCACCACCACTGCCTGCAAGGCATGAGACTACGCGAAAAGCCCCGTGCATCCCAGGCAACTCAGCCTTGCCTCTTCCAGCTGCAGATGGCGCAAACAGACCAGCAACGAGCGAAGCCATGCCTTTGCACCTTCCTTGATCTAGGCTCTACGCTTGCGTAAGCTCGGCGGCTAAACGGAGCGACGTAGCTGCTAACAGTACCTGAAGGGGAGGGCTTTCTCGATAAGATAACTTGATAATCGCTGACCATTCGGCTGGGCGGTAGAGCTAATCTGAGCCAATCTCCGATCTTCAGTTTAGCAGACTGACTGAGAAACTGGAAGGTCGGGCTGCACCTGCAATCTACAGTTGCAACGACTGGCCTTTAAGACTGCAGCCGAAGCGAAGTGTCAGGGCAGCCCGGCCTGCCATTGCTGTCCTTGGCCTCATTGGCTGCCGTCAGACGCCAGCATCCTGAGCAAAGCCTCGGTTTGCACCAGCCACATCATGTCACCTTTGCTGCAGCGAAGAGCTGCCATGAGCTGCCCACCGCGAACGTTGCAAAGGTTTCAGCGGCCGTGAAAATGCCGAAAGCGCCGCCAACTGTCTTTGCCACTCGGCCGGGATCCCCTTGCCAGGCCTTGGGCACCACGAGCATATGCCTGGCTAAGGCTCCCAAAACACCGCATCAAAGGCTGTCCAGCTCCCTACACAGACGACAAGGCGACTCCTCAGAGCCGTGCTTCGGCGAGGGCACAGGAGCATCCAACATTATGGCCAAGTCATGGCCAACTCTAAATCAGCTGCTGTGCACACACACACACAGACGCACACGCACGCCTGCTTGGCCTGGGCTCACATACATCGCATGCGTCCCTAGATGGCGGTATTTGCGACCTGAGCTCGCTGAATCGAGTCTAGCAAATCCAGGGCAACTGACTTTCGCGAAGAAGCAAACGACTAGCGGCTACCGGTGGAAAACTGAGCTCTAAGGAGCTTAGATGTTTGAGCCAACATAACGCCCAAACAGCACATTGCTAACAACGCAAGCAAGAAATGTCTACGATCCAGGATTCACTGGACATAGATATCGAGCATTCCACCGAGAACCACATACAGACAAAGCGTGGGCCACCAGTCACAGAACGGCAAACATCAACTTTGCTGCAGTATTGCCTGGTCTGCTGCAACCTGGCGGTGGACAACATGCTCATCCAGTCGCCGCTAGAGCTATGTGCGCAACACTAGTGGATCGAGACCCATAGGGCAGACTCGCGATCGGCCACGGAGTTCCTTACTTATGCATGTATGTATGTATGTATATGTATGTATGTATGTATGTATGTATGTACGCATGATTCAGAGCGAACCGAACCGCGAACCGGAACCGCACGAACCGAAATTACAAACCCAACCGAGAACCGAACCGAAGGCTAAACCGAACCGTTTTCGGTTCACATACATTGTGGGCTGAGGATCACTTAAAGACCTCACCAATCCCCGCAATAGGTTTAGGCAGGAAAATTCATTATGAAGATTCACCGCTGGGGCGCTCTGGCCGCCGAAACGTGGGGAGTCGCCTTTTCGCGGCTTCCAACCCCTAAAAGCTCCCAAAAAGCGAGACATAGCGATACCCCTGCGCTCGGAAGGCCGAACCGCAAGGATGCTTCAACAACACATTTTATCGACATCGAAACCATATCGGTATTCAGTCGCAAGGTATCGCTCAACCAAAGTACATCTTTTTTGAACCAAGCGAACCGCGAACCGAACCGATGAACCGCAAAAATGGAACCCAACCGATGAACCGAAGCCGAACCGACTGCTTCCTGCGTATGTACGCATGCCATGTACTGGAATGAGCCTACGCAATCTCATAGGCTGCAGTGAAATGGAACGAACGGCACATAGAAGTAAGCTATGGTATGGCATGGCATGGCATGGTACGGTATGACAAGATAAGCAGGGTAGGGTGCAAATCTTGGGTGCGACTCGCCTCACCCAGTAGGGCTTGCACTGTCAAGTGTTCTCTGACTGTTGTAGTCTTCGCTGGCACAGTTTTGCGCGCTGGTTGACTATACTATAGCGTGCGCAGTCTGTGAAATACCTATGCAAAAACCACGCACCAGGTTGCTTGAACTATCTGTTATCATTTATTTATGGGTTTGCATTTATATGTGATCCGATCCGGTATTCATCACCACTCGTTGGCAGGGCTTGTATCTGTAGGTAAAGTCCTGCGAGTCACTTACATTACATAGAAGAGACTTGACGGCTTGACGGTCCCGACCTCGAAAGAGTCGGGGGAAAGCTCTGATCGTGCACCTTGCGCCAGCTCGCAGTTAGCTTCACCTTTGAACCCAACTCCAAAACACATCTCTGAAGTTTAGGTTGTCGGCAGATATGCAGCAAGACTTCCTGCCTCCCTCCATCTCCGCCAGTCTTCGCACAAGCACCGCATGCTCCTGTTTGAGGAGGCGCATCTTCTGTTTCCGGGCTAGAGGCAATGTCTCGGAAGTGGTGCCCTAATATCTGTCCCACGGAACACGGCATCCGACGATGCATGTGCTGAAACATGGAAAACCCTGTATCTTGCGCATGTTCAAGAACTGCGGTGCTCATGCGAATAGAGGGGAACTCCACGTTATTGGGCAAGCTTTGGAAAAGGCATTCCGTTTCATGCGCCTGCCCTTATAAACCCTAAACCCTAAATCCTAAACCCTAAAAAGCGGAACTGCCCTTTTCCCAAGCGGATGAGGCCTGCTCCAGCGCCAACATCTTGTCCTCTGCCAGATGCCTCTGCTGCTCCAGAACCTGTGTTTTCGTTTCCACATTGCAGGAACGTTGCAGGTACCGTTGATACACTTTGCTTCAGCCCACCGACCTCCAGTATTTTTGTGGTTCGCTCAAGCTCACGTCTGAGCTTGTCGTTCTCACCACTCAGCTCTGCTGACCTGAGGCGGTTCATTGAATTGCGCCTCCAGAGGCACAACTGACCTGCAAGGCTCGATCAAACGTTGGTTCAAGTTGCTCGGATCCTGGCCGAAGATCCTGCTCCGACCTCCTCGCCACCATCTGAGCGAGGGACCTCTTGACATTGCCCATGTCTCATGAGCCAATACGGTGTGCACATGTCCCGAAGCACATTTCCTGAAAGAGACATCTCCACAAGCGCGATGATCCCTTCATGTGAGGCGGTGGCAGAGGCGACAGCGGCAGGGCCGCCGGCGAACCCGCCAGTGCCAGCAGGTCAGCTGAAGGCGGCGGAGCCACCGGCGAACCCGCAAGTGCCAGCAGGTCAGCAGACGGGTCCACACTGAGCGACAGTGCGAGGTCAGAGAGATTATAATGAAATTCCCCACAGCAGCCACAACAGCACGACAGCCTGCCAATATGGAAGGTGATGGCACCAGCATCACCTGAAATGTCTTGGTAGCCGTACTGTGCAAAATCCTAGCGCCAAGACTCCCAGAAAGCATCAAAGAAGCGAAAGAAGAGGAACAGACAGCGGTAGGGGAGTCGCCATTGGTCTTGGTGGTGTGGTTGTCTGCGTCGCCCATCAACCCGGTAAGGCCCGCTTTGGGAGAAAGCCCGGTTTGGCCTGGACACGGCAACGGTACGGGCCAGCCTCCTTTGCCCACTCACAATCAAACATGGAGGACTCTCTGGGACGATGGCCACAGATGGAGTTTACCACATCATACACACCCTCGTCGAGGAAGCATTGTCTCTCATCCTCCAGCTCCATCAACCTCCAAACAGGCAACTGGTTCATGAACACACTCCAACCGGTGCAAGAGATTTGTCGCTAATATCTCTTCAATTCTTTGCACTTGAGGTGCCTCTTCTGCGTGTCTCCGAATGCCTCCCGCAAAGCCTGGTTCTCGAGGACGAGCTGCCAAGATGAGTCAGAGGAGTCTCCGCTGGCAGGCTCTCAACTTAAAGCAACCCTAAGACCCGAAATTCTCAAACCCTTACCGCCTGTCGCATTCTCTCATCCGTAGTTGAGCTGCCGCCACCACCTCCTCCAGCTGCACCGGCGGAGTACAGACCTGATCAGCTCAAGCCTAAAGCGATGAAGCCTTGAGCCTCACAGAAATGAGTCCGGCACTTGGGCTGCATGCTGTGCTCGCAGCCTCCGCCGCCTGTCCTTCAAGCAGATCCCACTGGATGCAAGGAAAGGGCAAAGGCGAGTCCGAGCGTGCCCGGCTCCTGCCAGGTCGTCCAGCATGACTGGGGGGAAGAGCTCTTCACTGGCGATGCTGTGCACCAGCACAGAGCTTCCAGGGAGCTGCGGACTTTTTGCTCTGTCCTTGGAGTCACAATGCTTACCATCTCGCTGAGAGCCGCAAGACCCTGTGCGCCTCTTGACAGATGACCTCCTTGAGGTCAACCAGGCGCCGGAGAGCCTGCACAGCCTTGAACGATCGACGTCTGGAAACATCACTGCATGCGAGTACATGACAACTGTTGCCCGGGCGTGGTCATTTTCGGCGAAAATCTCTCTCCATGCATTCACTGGCACGCCAGCCCTAAACGTGACACAACACATAACCGAAATGCAGAGCCGTCGGTCCTGCTTGTTCTTGTCGGCAGGTGGCGGTGCACCCTGCACAAGGCCAACACTTGTCTAAGCTAGGCCAGGATTCAACCCGTCTACAGACTGCTTGCAGGCATCGGCCTGCTGACGAGCAGGCGCCTGTGCCTGCTCGGACAAAAAAGCCGCCCCACAGCATGCAAAGCTCTGCCTACTCGAGAGCAGCGGCACAACCCATTTAGACTGATGAAGTTGAAAGCAGTTCTGAAAACATAACATGAACAAGCAGCGGCAAAAGCGTCTCGAATTGACGAACCGCAGATACTATGAGTCACAAGCAGTGCACGAAAAGGACTGCTGCACAGGCTTAACAAAAAGCTCGTAAATCAGCAGTTCGTGTACATGCTTAATACCTCAATGCCTCAGCTCGACCCGATGACGCCAGGCGCGCACTTCGTGTTTGGACAGGTATCCTGCAGCAAGTTTGAAGGGGCGTGTCCACCATGCATCGTGACGTGAAGTAGCGTCTTGTCCCACGTTGAAAAACCTGTCTTCCCTGTGCAGGGCCTCGGTTTTGGCTGCGGTGACAGCTCACGTCTTCGAGGTGACTGGTTGCGAGCCGGAAAAGCCTCCGGGCCAATGCCCCAAGAGACTGGGCAAGGGCAACACGCCCCAAGGGCTGCATCGGCTTAACTGCCCAAAGCGGAAACAAAGCAGCAAACAATGATACATTGGCAGCTTGTTGTGCCCAGCACTTTGGCAGGCGAGCGGACTTCCGCCGAATCTGCTCTCCCCACACGTCTGGCCTGCCGCAAAGCCGCCTGACACTCGTTCACGGATATCAGAAGCACAAGTGAGATATCTGCTGTGCCTCCCTTGCTTGAGACGCGGCTGTAGCGCTGTGGAGTCCGGAAGACCTCACAGCTCGGCGGCTTGCCGGTGGATCAGCCTCCAGGCAGCAAAGCTCAGAACTGGCATATTTACTCATATATGCGTATGTACTTACCTATGTATGTATATGCACTTACCCATGTAAATGTAATCTTAAATCTAAATGTCACTATAAATATTTAAATGTATGCTCCCCGAAAAAATCTACCACAGTGATGGCTCTTGGCGGTGTGTGGTGCACGAAAAAGTGCAATGCTCCGAATCTCTGAAAAACTTGAAGCAAAACAGTGTTTCGTGAGCTGCAGGGTTGAAATTTCAACATTGTTGAGCGTTACAATGTGTCAAGATGTCCAGGACAGGAAACACTGTATCACAACATAAGGAAGAGCTCTCATCAGCTTTCACGGCATAAACCTCCCATCTTGTGTCTCTTCTGGAACAGCAGGAGTTTTCGTTACTCCTGCTTGATAAGTATGAAGACGGAGCACTCTAATCTTATTTCACTTCATATTAAAGGCTGTGGGAACCTTTGCAAATTTTGCTATCATTAACGGACAATCAAGACTTCCTATACTCCTTCCAATGAAACAGGGGTTTTCATTCAATTAACTCCTATTGATGCAACCTTATACCCTGGACAAAGATCGCTGTGTCGTCTTTTCTAATAGCCGTCATAAAACATAACAAAAAATAAAGGGGAGCTCTCTTCAGTCTTCTAGCGACACTCCCTCGATCTGATCAACAGACGAACAGAGGCCTGTGTACTGGTCTATGTTACTCAACCTCTGTTGCCTGCTTCTCCTTTTCCGCAAGGAGCCTCAGATTGCTATCAATCCTATATCGCGCCATCGTATACTTTGACTTACAAGGATGAGGAGCCCCTATCTTCGGATCGATAAGTATAGAAAGAGCCAGCGGTGTTGAGTCCTGCTTCATGCTTGGAGCTCTCTTACTGCGTGGTGTCGAGGAGCCTTCTTATGCGCCCTCATCTCAAATGAAACTTTCACTTGTAAAGTACTTTTCCAATTTCATGGGTTGGGATTCAACAATATAAGCACTCCCCGACAGGGAAAGTGAAAAGCATGCATGGATGCAAAGTATGTATGTACATGGATATGTGGATGTGCATGTATGCGTGTATGCGTGTATGTGTGTTTGTACGCGTATCTGCATGTGTGTGTGTGTAGGCGTAGTCGCATGTGTCTGTGCCTGTGTATGTGCATGTGTATGTGTGTATATAAAAAAATATATACACAGCTCTGTACCTTTATTACACAATGCTGTCCCTTTTCCAGACCAAGCATTGACAGTGCATGTAGCCCCCACGGAGAAGTTTTGGACACGGACCTCTGCTTTCGCAGCGGTTGGGCCCATCGGGGCAGGGGGGCTGGAAGCTCTCCTTCACGGGATATGGCAGGCTTCACCTTTTTGTGCAGCGATGAGCTCTTGCTAGGGCTTCGGTCAGTATGCATTCATTACTGGGTCAAAGCCTGCACAACACAACTACACCGACGAGCACAAGGTGAGCAATTTGCGGCAAACTCACCCCGATGGCACATGCAAGAAAAGGTTAAAGGGCGAGAGTTCGTCCTGCCAGCTGTAAGAACCATCGTGTGCTGTTTCGGACACATCAACGTCGGCTCCTCGGTAGCTGCGTGCCTTGGTCATCGTCCAAAACGTCGCGATAACTCTCTTTATGCGACGGACGATGCAAAATAGCAAGATGCAAGAAAAGCAGGCCTTGTCCGCCAAGCTTGCAACTGAAAAGCAAAGGCACACGACGAGAGAAGCTCAGCCACAGGGCGTGATGATCGGAGGCGGCTTTCTGGCTTTGCCTCAAAGGCTCGAGTGTGGTTGAGAGGGCCACTGAGCTGTTCACAGGGTCAGCACGGCATGATGCAGAAACACTGAGGGTGACACTGCTTCAGAAGCCATCTGCGAGGATGCAGGCACTGTAAGAAAATGCTCTCATGGTCCCATGCTTTCGGACACGCGCCCCTCACCACACAGACCAAGAGCATTTAGTGTAGTAGAGCTTGCCCGAGAATGATACACTGCAAACTTGAAGCATCGATCTCATCCACTAGTGAAGCCGTGACCTTGGCGGCGGCGGCTCGCGCTTTGGCGAAACCCGGCTTCGGTAGGACCTGGCATGCTGAACCCAGCCGGTGTGCTAAGGAGAGTGATCCTGGATAACAGACCCATCTATCTCTCAGCTGAAGCAGGACACGAGCTCCCCAGCTGCACCCTTCATTCCCAGGCTTTGCTGATGCATTTCTGGGTGCACCTTAACTGGAACAGCTTGGCTCACCTCTACACGTCTTGTGCGGAAAGAGGGCAGCTGGTAAGAGCATGTACCGACATGCAACCTTTACAGCCTTACAGCAGTATAGTGCAAGGGCTGTCTGTGCCGATCATGTCGCCTTAACGCGTTTCGTCCTTGGTCACCTCCCCGGCACGCCTCCACATGTCTGTAGCCCGAATGAACTCTTCCTGTGCTTGTCTTACTTCGGCGATCTTTGACTTCATGTCCTCTTCGGCAATAGGCCGTGCATCCTGTGCTGGTTCAAGCTTCATTCCATGTCTGATGTGGTCCACTTCTCCAGCTCTCTTCCAAGACTCAAGGGCCTTGCCCCAAGCAGCTTTCGAGATTGTCTTGTCATCTCCGGGCAGCTCGTCTGATCGACCTGGCTGCGGCTCAGGCTTCGCAGCCTGTCGTGTCATAGAGTCTTTGGTCTGCATCATCGCGCATTCCTCACCTTGCGCCCTGCCTTGCTCGAAGAAGGCCACCACCAGCACCAGAAGTCCGATCCAGAGACGCATGGCGACCACAGAAGGGGTCGGAACGTTTGGCAAGCTTCTCCGGGCCGCGAAAAACCGAAGACGAAACGTGCACTCTAATCGGGCAGGAGATTCGCTCGAAATTGACTCAACATGGACAGTAAGCATCATCCCTCCCATTTCCATCATGTGCACTTTGCACATGTATGCACAGCTGACACATGATGTTGCAAGCAGAAAACCCCTTCTGTCAGACCAGCTTCGGTTGCGCCGTTTTCTTGGACCTAATATGTTTGCTGCCACACCCTGAACCCAAGACATGGCCACATTCCGAAGGGCAACCTTGGCCTTCGGCTTCGCAGCCGCCGCTTCCTTGTTGCGGCTCTTGCTGTAAATTCGTGGGCTATGACAGCATGGTCAGAGAACCAGCGGCTAGCACAGCATCTGATACAAGAGATGCTTGGAGTCAGAAACTCGGGACCTCACCAGATCGCAAAGGACACCATTGCTCCTGGAGGGCCAAAATAGCAGGGAACCATTGCTCCTTGAGGGCCAAAATAGCAGGGAATCACAACCCTAAACCCTAAACCTTAAACCCTAAACCCTAAACTCTTGTAAGATGATTCCGGACGTGCCTGGGCCGAAGAGCGTCAGCAGACCCCATGCTCGGACGCCGACCTCGAACTGCAGACACATGAGATAAAGCCCACACTGGCAATATATTACATTATACTATATTATATGATCTATATTGCAATATACTTTATTATATTGTATTATACTATATTATATTATACTATATTATAGTATA